GGGACTCTTCAGTCCTCAGGCGGACGCTCTATCCACTGAGCCAAACCAGCTCAGCTAAGTTTTTATATTTTTAATTTAAAAATACACAAATACATTCATGTTAAGAGATCCATATTTTACAGGAGTCAAGCATCAAAGTCCCATGATTACTCCCACTCCTTTTCCCAGAAGTAACTATTGGGGACAGTTTTCTATGCAGTTATGTTTCTATATATTTACATATATATTTACACAAAAATATTTTAAATGTAAATAGACGATTCCACAACTGGCTCCCCCCCTGCTCCCCATTTAATGCACTGATTTACACACAAGGCTGGACATTTTCTTTTGAATGCTTATTGGTAATTCGTTTCTTTTTTGTGAACTATTTTTCATAACCTTTGTCTATTTTCTATCGAGTTGACTTTTCTTCTTGGTTTGTATTAATTCTTTTACTGACACACTGTGGACACCCATCTTTTGTTACATATCCTGCCAGTGTAACTTTGAGCAAGCCATTTAATTCACGCTTGTCTTTAGCTCCACAACCAGGACAACATTGCTTGTGGGAGATTGTGGGGGAATTGAGAACTACATGTCAAGTACCAAGCATTATGGTTGGCATTCAATAAGTACTCAACAAATGTAGCTACTCTACCTAGACTTAGTCCATAGAGTTTAAAAGTAACACATCTGAATCCTTTAGGTGAGTCATACATTTTCTAGTTGGCCATACTGTCCCTTACCTCCCCAATCTGTTTGCTACATGGCAACTTCTCAGATTTATGCTACCAGCCTTCCATTCTCCAGTTTTTAATGAATGAAAATAAAGCAGGCTTTGAAATTACATATCACCTATAATCAGAGCTGCTCTTTGTGCCCATTATGCACTGTACAATACTAAGCTGTATCCTTCATAGTGTAACTTACTTACCGAGCCCCTTGGGACTGGGCAACGTACAACCTGCATTCTGTTTCTAGGAGCTTACGGAAGGGCATTCTCACAACAATTTTAAAAACTTTCTCAAGAGACCTCTCTTATTTTCACAACATCTACTAGGAAGGATCAAGATGGGTGTGATGTTTCTAGTTCATAGATGTGGTAGGAAGAACAGAGCTACTAAACCAGAAGTATGGCCCCAAATATCTTGAAATGCAGATTGGGACTGTGAAGAAGACAGACATCAGGTCCCTGCTTAGTACCCTGTCAAAGGCAAGATTAAGCTTCTGGATTTCCAGAGGCCTTCCCTAGATCAAAAACTAATAGAAATTACTACCTCAGCCCTGGCCAGTTTGACTCAGTGGACAGAGCATCGGCCTGGTGACTGAAGAGTCCCAGTTTGATTCCAGTCAAGGGCGTGTATATCAGTTGCAGGCTTGATCCCCAGCCCTGGTCAGGGTGAGTGTGGGAGGCAACCAATCGATGCGTCTCTCTCACATCGTTGTTTCTGTCTGTCTCTCCCTTCCACTCTCTCTAAAAATCAATGGAAAAATACCCTCGGGTGAGGATTAACAAAAAATAAAGAAATACTACCTCTACAACAAAACCATCCATGGAATTAGGCTAGGTAAACCCCTTACATGCACATAGAACTTGAATGTTAAATGTTTACAGAGTATGTTTATACACCCATCCTAACATTTGTTTATTAACAAATGGACAGGGATTACCATCCCCACTGTGGGATCTTCAGATGCCGAATTGGGGAGTACTGCCTCTAAAGAACTCCCTCCAAAGGTCTAAAAGGCAGTCTTACCAGTCTAAAGGAATTGTGGCAAAAGGCCACATCTGAAGTGATGTGTATAAAATCCAGGGAGACAGTGATAGCCACTCAGCAGCTATCAGTTACAGTTTCAAGATACTGGCTAAACATATACTCGCACATGCACGCACACACACAACACATACACACAGTTTCTAATGCACAAACCAGTGGAAAGTTTTCAGACTGACAAACTTGTCACTGGAAACGGAATATGCAAAAATAAAGAGCAAAACAAACCCAAGTCCAACCACCTCGTTAATAGCTGAGGTCTTTATTTCAATTTGTATATACAGTAAAAGTGCTGCTGAGAATCTGCAGCAACCAGACAAAACATAAATGTAATTCTCTCTCAACAATTAGCAGCTTAAGATCTATCAACTACAGTGTTAACGTTCACACGTTCACAAGTGTCATTTCTGTACTTTTCAATTCGTGCGAGTTTTTATTCTTACACACTTTGATAAAACACACTTACAGTCTAGTAGTCAGTCCTACTGGGGATATCACTTAGCATACATAACACACAGATAGAAATGTTAACTCTTAGAGCCACATTCAAAATCCCCAGTCTCATTTAGGGGTGGGAACCATAATTTTGCCTTTGTGAATTTGTTGACTATAATATTTGGTTTTGTTTTGGATGCATATTTTCCAAAGCTGATAGGCAGCTCTGTACTGGAACTCAGCATTTCATCTGACTGTACCTCAAAGGAATATGAAATTAGAAACAAAACCAAATGTAGTGAAAGACACATGAAAATATGCTCATTATTAAGACATGACTAGCAAGGAAGGCTTCATCTCAGTATTTTCCTTGGTATCAGATTTTTACGTCAATTGGGTGGAAGGGGTACAAGGGAGAGAAAGGGTTCCAGTCAAGGTGAAGTGTAAAATTTAACCTACTTTTGCTTAAGGAGCCACTGGAATAGAAAGCCTTCCTTGCTAGGATGTACTGAGTATATACCAAGAAATTGAAATTGGAGCAGACATGTCCTTCAATTATCATTAAAAAATGTAAAATATTAGTCATTCTATAACCTGAACAGTGTCACCCAGGCTACCACAGCTAGCCTCAGGCACCACCACTAACAAGTAATCCAGGAATGCTTCATTTCAAAGGGAATGCATGTAGTCTTTATAAGAGAAGAAGCATTAAAATGATGGGAATTTTCCACCTACAGAACAATCGTTAAATTATTAGAGCAAGGTTATAGAAGAGCTTTGAACAGACAGGAGAATCCAAACAGTCACAATGCAAAGAAACTCAAAGGTAATAGGTATGGGCAGCAGAAAATGGGGAAAGGCATCAAACCATATTCAGTTACAAATAGCATTAAATGCAGACAACTGTTGGGCGTGCTGAACACTCAAGAAACAAGAGAGCTAAAAGGCCATTACTGTGCCTGACCCAGCCTGAACGTCCTTCCTAAGACAGTTTGAGAGAAGAGAATGGAAAGTTAGCACAGGCATGTTTGGCTGGGAGATCAGGGGGCTTTCCAGAGGCAACAACATTCCTTTGATAGAAACCATCCCAAGGCATAAGGAATAATTGAAATTCATCTATCACAGTGACTTCCAGTGCCCACAAAACTTAGTATCCTCTACACAGTTTAGGGGATGCAAAGGTTCCATCTTAGAAAAACTGGAGAACTGTGGCTCTCTATTCTGAGCCGTAGCTAAAACAGAAAGAACAAACTGTGCTAGTTCAACAAGGTCATGGTATCCTTTGGCACTCCGGTCTAACATCACTGCAATATTTTTAGACAAAGTTAACATTTTAAATACATAGGCTTGGGAACAATTTGTTTTTGGCCTGAACATGAATTGGTTCCAATTATTTTTTAAAAGAAAAATCTCCCTTGAGATTAAAAAAAAAAAATCCACCCTGGTCCCTGCTCTGGGCACTAATTTTGAGAGGTCAACAGAGCTAACAGGTATGCTACAATCATCTGGGGATAGAATGAAGACTGGGGTACCTGAGTTAAAATATCAAAATGATTATGGTAACAACATGCTGACTCTGAGAAGGCCAGCCTGCCAAAGCCACCAGAGGCTGGAGCTGTCATGTAAACCATGCTGTCAGACAGACAAGGCAATGCTAGTCTAGTTTCAAAGGAATTCCCCGGGACAGGGGCAAACAGGCAAAGCATGGTTTGGGGCACATCATGTGTCCCTTGCTCATTACTTGGTTGCACAGAGCTGAGGCTAAGAGGAGCAACATTTTGTGACTTAATGCTGCAAATATGAAAAGATTAGCCAAAGTTTCTAGATAAACTCTAAAAGCCCAAGTTCCACCAAGATGATGGAACTGGTTATAGGAAGGGGAAGAAGACTCAGTCCATTTTTCTAAACTGTCTATAAAAGTCCACTGAGCATAATAATGTTAATGTCAGTCTATATGAAAAGGAAGCCGACAACACTTTACACCCCAAACTTGGGTCCTTCTAACCTGATATCTCCTTCTCTGCTCTTTAGGGAGAATCACCTTCAGTCAATTCTCTCAGGCAGACAAAATAAAGCTTTGAAATTAAGGATGTGGGGGCCAAAATGCAGACACAAGATTCATAATCACTTTGGTTTCAGTAATTAGGAGGTGTTAAAAAATAAATTAAGGAAACACAAGGAATTATTTATGACTCTCATAGTCTCATTTTTTTCCTAAAGACAGCTCAGCACATAGTCACTGAGTGAACATTTCTTGGGGCAAAAAAATCTCTATCCTATCATGCTGGTTTGTGGAAACAGCTTCTCCCTGCACGCCCCTTTCCTCTCCAACCAAACCAAGCCCATGAAGTGGTGGTGGTGGGGGGGCAGCAAACACCAAAAAGCAGCAGCAGCAGCCAGACAAAGGAGTTTACGCTGCATCATAAAACAAGGGCATCAGAGGGCAGCATTTATAGCAAGTCTTCCTTTACTCAAACTGTTTCAAGATAAGAGGGAGCAGCACACTTATATATCCACACATTTCTTCATTTAAAAACATCACTTCTTTATTTCAAAGGAAAAGTAAAAGACCCTCCCAACCCTTTCAAAAAGCAAAACAAAAAACACAAACCACCCAATAATAATAACAATAAAAAATCCTATTAGAAACCATAAGGAAGCACTGAGAGTTTGAGTATTACATTCTTCAAGTATGCTGTTTGTATTTTTTTTTTTAATTGATGACTACACACGTTTTTAAAAAAAACCTTAAAAGTGCGGCCATGGGATTTTGCTTAAAATTAAGTATTTGGAAGAAAGTGAGGGAGAGGTGTTGAGCCCAGACAAGGCAGGGTGTTAGGTTTAACTGGTTTCCCTAATCAGGTTTTTGCATCTTTTTAGTGGGTTTTAGTGCAGTTTTTCAAGCCACATTTTAGATGCCCTTCAGTGTGCTCCAGATTGTTGGTTCATGTTAAAGGACTGTTTAAGATTTGCATCCCAAGGAAAATCATGCTACATAAAAATGATCCAAGAATTTTGCCCAAAAAACTTCTTGGATAAAATCTAAAAAATACTATTGCAATTGTGTCTCTTGAAGGAAAAAACATTATTCTAAATGTAAACAGATTCACTCAACTCTTTTGTTGTAGAAAACTTCAGAGAAGGTAAGTTGCTGTCTAATTCTTTGCTGCATGCACTCGCCAGAGGGTAGGGGAGCACTGCCTTCTTTTGCCAGCATCATCTGGGGGATGAGAAGAACCGTTCCACATAGCTGAAGAGGGCATCCCAGTGCTTCCAGAGAAAGGCAATGAAAACCACAAGAAATAAAGTGCTGAACGTCCTGTTGCGAGTCTTCATAAGAGGAACCACGCAGTTGGCTACGGTGGAGACAAAGACCAAAAGAACTGCCATGACAGCCAGAAGAATGTTGATGAGTTTGCCCAGAAGGTTCCGGGCAGTGGCATTCTCCAGCCCTTCCAGCTGCACCACCTGCTGCTGCTGCTGCTGTAGCTCCATCTTGGAGATGCGGGTCTGGCACGCCTCCAGGGCCTCCTGTGGGCCAGAACAGGGAATAGTTAAACCTTTTGCTCACAAGTAATCTGAGAAGCTGATTTTGCCCCTGAGGCAAGCCAGATGCATCTTGAGCTATGCCAATGATTTTAAATATACTAGAGCAGCTGTGGGCAAACTACGGCCTGCGGGCCGGATCCGGCCAGTTTGAAATGAATAAAACTAAAAAAAAAAAAAAAAAAAAAAAAAGACCGTACCCTTTTATGTAATGATGTTTACTTTGAATTTATATTAGTTCACACAAACCCTCCATCCAAGCTTTTGTTCCGGCCCTCCGGTCCAGTAGGGACCCATTGTGGCCCTCGAGTCAAAAAGTTTGCCCACCCCTGTACTAGAGAGTGACCACAGCATCATGGTGAAATGGGAAGACTCCTTTGTTTCTCCCCTTAAAGTAGGAAAAGAGAGGAAAAAAGGAACAGACAGCCTATTCAAACAAATAATGACAACTTCCCAAAAAGAAAGTTAAACAAGGAAATATCGATCTTAAATGACATTACAGCTCTGGCCAGTTGCTCAGTGGTTAGAGCAGGGGTGGGCAAACTTTTTGACTCGAGGGCCACAATGGGTTCTTAAACTGGACCAGAGGGCCGGAACAAAAGCATGGATGGAGTGTTTGTGTGAACCAATATAAATTCAAAGTAAACATCATTACATAAAAGGGTACGGTCTTTTTTTTTTTTAGTTTTATTCATTTCAAACAGGCCGGATCCGGCCGGCGGGCCGTAGTTTGCCCACAGCTGGGTTAGAGCATTGGCCCAAGGACCAAACCAAGGGGCCACAGGTTCAATTCCTGGGCAAGGACATGTGCCTCAGTTGCAGGTTCCCAGCACCTGCAGGGACAGGCGTGGAGGCAACCAACTGATGTGTCTCTCTCACATGGATTTTTTTTCTTTCTCTCTCCCCCTTCTTCCTCCCTACCACTCTCTCTAGAAATCAATGGCAAAAATATCCTGTGGGGGAGGATTAAAAAAAAAGGACACATTAGAGCAAAGAACATATTTGATATTTATTGAACTTTCCATCCCCAAAATAACAAAAATATACATTCTTTTCAAGTGCACACGAAACATTCTCAAGGATAGACCATGTTGTAGCACAAAACCAGTCTCAATAAATTTGAGAAGACAGAAATCATACCAAAGCATATTATCTGATCAAAATGGTATAAAACGACAAGAAGAAAGCTGACAAAAACATGAATATGTGAAGATAAAACAACATGCTGCTGAACAACTACTGGGTCAAAGAAGAAATAAATAAAGTAAAAGATCAAAAGATACAGAGAGACAAATAAAAATAAAAATACGACATACCAAAATTTTGGGGATGCAACAAAAATGGTACAAAAAGGTTTACAGCATTACATGCCTATCTCAAGAAATAAGAAAACTCTCAAATAAACCACCTAACATTATACATTAAAGAACTATAAAAAGAACAAAGGAATTCCAAAGTCAGTAGAAGAAAGTAATAAAAATTAGAGTGGAAATAAATGAAATAGAGAACAAAAGAATAATAGAAAAAAATAATGAAGCAAAGAGCTAGTTCTTTGAAAAGAAATAAAATTGACAAATCTCTGGCTAGACTTGCTAAGGAAAAAAGAGAAAAGACTCAAATAAAATAAAAAATGAAAGAGAAGTTACAATGAACATCAGAGAAATGCAAAGGATTATACAAAAATACCATGAAAGGCTTTATGCCACCAAATTTGATAACCTAGAAAAAATAGACAAATTCTTAGAAATATGTTAACCTTCCTAGACTGAGAAATGAAAAATTGGAAAACCTATATAGTCCGATCACTAGTAAGGAAATTGAAACTGTCATAAAAAAAACTCTCAAAAAACAAAAGTCCAAGACCAGATGGCTTCACAAGTGAATTCCACCAAACATTCAAAGAAGGTTTAATACCTATCATTCTCCTGCTCTTCAAAAAAAACTGAAAGGAAGTAATACTTCCTGACTAATTTCACAAGGCTAACATTATCCTGATACCAAAACCTGGTAAGAACAACACAAAAAAGAAAATTATAGGCCAATATCTTTGATGAACATAGATGCAAAACCCCTAAACAAAATATTGGCAAACTGAATACAGGGTACATTAAAAAGATAAAACATCATCATCAAGTGGGGTTCATTCCAGGGATGCAAGGATGGTTCAATGCATGCGAATTGGTCAATACACGACATTAACAAATAAAAGATAAGAATCATATAATCATATCAATAGATGTAGAAAAAGTTGTATCTGATAAGATACAACATCCACTTATGGTAAAACACTTACTATAACCGGTTTAGAAGAAAAGTACCTTAACACAACAAAGGCCATATATAACAAACTCTCAGCTAACATCATACTAAATGGTAAAAAACTTTTTCTCTAAGATCAGGAACAAGACAAGGATGCCCATTCTCACCACTGCTATTCAATAAAGTACTGGAAGTCTTGGCCAGAGCAATTAGGCAAGAGAAAAAAGAAAAGGCATCTAAATTTGGAATGAAGAAGTAAAACTATCATTATTTGCAGATGACATGATTCTCTATATAGAAAATCCTAAAGACTCCATGAAAAAACTATTAGAAACAATAAATACAGTAAAGTTAAAGGATACAAAATCAACATAAAAAAATCTGCTGCACTCCTATATACTAACAAAGTATCAGAAAGCGAGATGAAGAAAAAAATTCATTTACAATTGCAACAAAAAGGATAAAATACTTAGGAATAAACTTAACAAAAGAAGTGAAGGACCTGTACATTGAAAACTACAACACAGTAGTTTATGTTTATGCAATATATGTTTAATGCAACCCCTATCAAAATCCCAGTAGCATTTCTCTTAGAAATAGAATTTTTAAACCCCTCAAATTTGTATGGAACCACAAAAGATCCCAAATAACCAAAGCAATCCTGGGGAAAAAAAAAAAAGAACAAAGCTATAGGTATCACAATCCCTGGCTCAAATTATACTACAAAACTATAGTAATCAAAACAATAAGGTATTGGCAGAGAAATGGACAAATGGAATACAGAACTGAGAGCCTAGAGATAAACCCACACATATATGGGCAACTACTTTTCAAAGGAGCCAAAAATATACAATGGAGAAAGGAAAGTCTTTAATAAATAGTGTTGGGGAAACTGAAAAGAATGAAACTAGACCAGGGTGGGCAAACTTTTTGACTCGAGGGCCACAGTGGGTTCTTAAACTGGACCGGAGGGCCAGAACAAAAGCATGGATGGAGAGTTTGTGTGAACTAATATAAATTCAAAGTAAACATCATTACATAAAAGGGTACGGTCGTTTTTTTTAATAGTTTTATTCATTTCAAGCGGGCCGTAGTTTGCCCACGGCTGAACTAGACTATCTGACACCACACACAAAAATGAACTCAAAAGTAGTTTAAAGGCTTGAATATAAGACCAGAAACAATAAGATAGATAGAAGAAAACATAGTCACCAAACTTCAGGATGGGTATTTGTGACACCAAAGGCAAGGGAAGTAAAAGCAAAAATAAATGAATAGGACTACATCAAACCAAAAGCTTCTGCACAGCAAAAGGAACAATTAACAAAACAAAAAAGCAACCAACCAAATTCCAGAAGGTATTTGCAAATGTTACCTACCAAAAGGGGATAAAATCCAAAATATACAAAGAACAACTCAACAAGAAAAAAACCCAAACAATCCAATTAAAAAATGGGCAGAGGACCTGAATAGACATTTTCCAAGGAAAACATACAGATGACCAACAGATATATGAAAAAATGCTCAACATCACTAGCTATAAGGAAAATGCAAACCAGAACTACAATGAAGTAGTTGGAATGGCTATTATCAATAAGATAAAAAATAAATATTGCACAGGATGTGGAGGAAAGAGAACTCTCATATACTGCTGGTCGAAATATAAACTGGTGCAGCCACTATGGAATACAGCACGGAGGTTCCTCAAAAAATTAAGGATTAGAGCTACCATATAACCCATCAATCCCTCTTCTGGGTATCTACCTGAAAATTCTGAAAACATTTATTTGTAAAGATATACAGACATCTATGTTCACTGCAACATTACTTACAATGGCCAAAGCATGCAAATAACACAAGTATCTGATAGATGGTTGCATAAAGAAGATGTAGTATGTATATACACACAATGGAATACTACTACTTAGCTATAAAAAGATGAAATATTGCCCTAGCCGGTTTGGCTGAGGATAGAGAGTCGGCCTGCAGACTGAAGGGTCAGGTGTTCAAATCTGTTCAAGGGCATGTACTTCGGTTGCAGGCTTGAGCCCCAGGCCCTGGTCAGGATGCGTGCAGGAGGCAACCAATCCATGTGTCTCTCTCACAATGTTTCTTACTCTCTGACTCTCCCCCTCTCTTCCTCTCTCTAAAACTCAATGGAAAAATATCTTTGGGTGAGAATCAATCAACAAATGATGAAATATTGCCATTCATGACAAGATGGATGGATTTTGAAAGTCTTATGCTAAGTAAAATAAGTCAGACAGAAAAAAATAAGAAACCATATCATTTCGTTCATATGTGGGATATAAAACAAAAAGCAAACAAACAAAAAGCAAACCAAAACAAACAAACCCACAGATACAGACAACAAAATGGTGGTTACCAGGGAAGAAGGGGGTAGGGGGAGGACAAAGAGGGTAAAGGGGATTAAATACAAGGTGACAAAAGGAGTCTAGACCAGTGGTTGGCAAACTCATTAGTCAACAGAGCCAAATATCAACAGTACAACGACTGAAATTTCTTTTGAGAGCCAAATTTTTTAAACTTAAACTATATAGGTAGGTACATTGTTATTAACTTAATTAGGGTACTCCTAAGCTGGTCTTTGCAAAAAACATCCTCAATCTGAGGGGTCGACCTCAGCGAACGTACCCCCACTTCTTCTAATGCCACTTCTTCAAAATAGACTCGCCCACGCCGAAAACCAACTTCTGCGCATGGGCCACGAAGTTTCAAGCACACTGTACGCGCTTGTCCGTGTGTGGTATTTTGTGGAAGAGCCACACTCCAGGGGCCAAAGAGCCGCATGTGGCTCGTGAGCCGCACTTTGCTGACCACGGGCCTAAGCAACCAGAAGATAGAAATGATACACATGAGTGGAGTTTGCAGGACTGCAAGTTGCTCGTTGGGAGTCAGTGAATAAGTGGTGAGTGACTGTGAAGGCCTAGGTGTGGGCAAACTTTTTGACTCGAGGGCCACAATGGGTTCTTAAACTAGACCGGAGGGCTGGGACAAAAGCATGGATGGAGTGTTTGTCGGAACTAATATAAATTCAAAGTAAACATCATTACATAAAAGGGTAGGGTCTTTTTTTCAATAGTTTTATTCATTTCAAACAGGCCGGATCCGGCCCGCGGGCCGTAGTTTGCCCACAGCTGGTGTAGACTAATATTCACCTAAACTGTCCTCCACTGCACTCCTGTGGGATGGCTCACAAGAAGCAGTGGGTATAATTAGATTTGGTTGAACATTTTATGGACAAGATCTCAAATATATAATGTTTCTTTTTTTATAATTTTCTTTTTCATTTAAAAATTATTAATTTAAGTTGCACAAGACACACCTACTTGTTCACCATAAAAAATTTCAAATAGGCCGAAACTGGTTTGGCTCTGTGGATAGAGCGTCGGCCTGCGGACTGAAAGGTCCCAGGTTCGATTCTGGTCAAGGGCATGTACCTGGGTGGCGGGCACATCCCCAGTGGGGAGTGTGCAGGAGGCAGCTGATTGATGTTTCTCTCTCATCGATGTTTCTAACTCTCTATCCCTCTCCCTTCCTCTCTGTAAAAAATCAATAAAATATATTTTAAAAAAAATTTCAAATAGGACACATACTTTCTCTTGATATTTCCTCAATTCCTGCCCCTGCTCTTGAAGTAATACTGCAGTTTGGTTTGTTTTCATCCTTTCACCTATATTTTAAGTGTATACAAATATGTGCCTAGGGAAATATATGGAATCATTTTTTAAAAATATATGTTATTAATTTTTTACAGAGAGGAAGGGAGAGAGATAGAGAGTTAGAAACATCGATGAGAGAGAAACATCGATTAGCTGCCTCCTGCACACTCCCCACTGGGGATGTGCCCGCCACCCTGGTACATGCCCTTGACCGGAATCGAACCTGGGACCTTTCAGTCCGCAGGCCGACACTCTATCCACTGAGCCAAACCGGTTTCGGCTGGAATCATTTTTTTATTTTCTATCATAATACAGAACTGGTCCACATTTGCCTCTTTCACTCAACAGTGAGTCTTGGTGCTCTCTCTCCGTCAATGATAGAGATCCACCTCATTCTTTTTAACTGATGCAGGTAATTTTATAGCAGGGGTCCTCAAACTTTTTAAACAGGGGACCAGTTTACTGTCCCTCAGACCGTTGGAGGGCCGGACTATAGTTTTAAAAAAAAACTATGAACAGCCGAAACCGGTGTGGCTCAGTGGAGAGAGCGTCGGCCTGCGGACTGAGAA